GAATGTGGCATTATCCATTATGAAGAAAAAAGATATATAAAAGAGACAGAATGGGGGCGCCTGTGTGGCTCAGTGGATTAAGCCTCTGCCTTCGGCTTGGGTCATGATTTCAGGGTCCTGGGATCGAGCCCCACATCAGGCTCTCTGCTCAGTGGGGAGCCTGCTTCCCCCTCTCTCTCTGCCGGCCTCTCTGCCTACTTGTGACCTCTCTTTGTCAAATAAATAAGTAAAATTAAAAAAGAAAAAAAAAGAGAGAGAGACTGAGTGACTCTCAGGCCTGCAATATTTAATAGTGATTTCATACAATATATTGATTCGCATAATACAACAATTTGTGTCTTTTGGAAAAAGGGGTGGTCAGCTTGGAAGCATAGAAAAAAGGTGATTCAGGAGGTGAGTGATAGCATTGTCCTTCCAAACATATCTTGGAAATAGCATATTTTTGCTAAAAAACCAGCTGACCATTTCAATGGCAGGTATAGTATAGAGGTTAAGAGCATAGACTTCAGAGCTAGACTGCCTAGGTTGGAATCCTGTTTCTTCCACTTACTATCTGCTGGACTTTGGGCGTGCTATGGACTGATGTCGAGGACCTAAACCTAAGTCTGATGGTATTTAGCTAGGGCATGTCGGAGGTAATTAGGTCATGACATTGGACCCTCATGAATGGGATTAGTACTTACAAGAGGAAACTCTCTCCACCCTGTAAGGATGTAGTAGTCTGCAAACCAGGAAGAGAGCTCTCCCCAGAACCTGATCATGCTGGCATTCTGAGCTTGGACTTCCCAGCCTCCAGAATTCCAAGAAATAAATGTCTGTTGTTTGAGCCGCTGGGTTATGGTATTTTTTTTAAGGAAGCCTAAACTGACTAAGATAGGCAGGTTATTTAAAAGCTTTCTACTGAGTTTCCTCATCTGTAAGAGGAATAATGATGTATCCTACTTTATTTGTTTGGTGCGATATTTAAATGAATCACTCTACATAAAACACTTAGAAGAGGGTCTGGCCCATGTAAGTTGCCATTATTAACATAGATGGATCAGATACTCATATAATAATACCCTTAAATTTACGTTGCAAATGATTACTCAATTCCTTTTTTTCCTAAATTCTTACCAAGCAAACTGCCAATGGCTTCCTACAAATCGCATGACTTCAGGGAGTTATACAGGCTTAAGACATAAATCCTCTCAAGATCTCTGAGATAACTACCTGTAGAATTTTTGATTTGGTTATCTGGGTCTTTATCAATCAGTACATCACTGCGATATGCTGCCAAGGAAGCAGAATTCAAGGACAGCTTGCAACTTTTTATTACCAGCAACAGTGTTTGGGTAAGGAGAATTTCTCTTAAGTAAACTGTCAAGGGACTGAAATTATTTTGAGTTTGATTTTCTATTCACCTATTTTGTTGGCTCTACAAACTAATCCATGGTCTTTCATACGTTAAGAGTTTGAGACTACAGGAAGTGAGCTCACAATGCCATAAAAATGTGCATCATGGGTAAGTCGTTTCAGTATATTATAAAAGGAATTACTTTATACTGATATAAAATCTATTAACTTGTTGACATTGACTAGGCTGCAGTAACTTTTACACTATCCATATAGAACGCTAGGCATCTAAAGGCTTGCTAAGCCAACTTTTCTTGAAATTTGAGCAAACTACTTATAGGCAAGTGGATATTACTAATTAAATATAAGTTTTCCCTATTAACTTAGGAGTCCTCTTAAAAACACTTGTCAGGATTCAGTATTAGTTTGCTACTACGTTTACAATGAATATATTTGTTTTGATGTAAATTAAAGCATTTCTTTAAAATACTCTTATTTATTATTCAAATTTTATAAATTCAGATTGACCCTTCTTCAAATACTATTCTAAGAGTGAACCCTTCTTTCTACATTTCCTACTCCAACAGGACACAATGTGAAACACGTAGTATAAACATTCCTGTTCCTCATCATGTGATGCTGTGAAAGTCATTTGGATCAGTGTGGCAACCATGGAGGTGACCCACTCAGATATCCCTTCAAAAACACCTGCCATAGGAAACACAGATGACTGACACCTTTCAACTGCCATACTTTTGGATCCACTGTGGAGTTCATAGCATACCATGCCTCCCCCAGACTATGATTGAACACAAAACGGATACTAACTGGCTTTTCTGGTGTGCAATGCCTCTGTTAGCAGTGCTAAGTCTACCAGCACAGAATCCCATCTAGCACAGCTTTCATAAAAAATACCCAGAATTATGTAATTCTCATGTAGAGAATGAAGTACAGGAGTGGGTCCATACCCATGAGATCTTATTGTTGTATCATATGTGGTATTATTTACATGAAACTGTCCTCATAGAGTACCGGAAAGGCCTACTGATGTAACAGCTAAATCAGCAGCTCAAAGACAATACTCAACAATGACAGTGCACGATCCCTCAGGATATAGTATAGGCACTAAATCAAAGATCTCTATATGGCACTGTGTTTCCAATAGGAAAAATATATGGATCTGGGAACCAAGGGATGAAATCAAGAATGGTCTCCTTTACAATCACTCCCGGTGACCCACAGGGGAACATTGTGTTTCTCCTCCCACAACTCTGAGTGATCAGAGTTAGAAGTCCCATTCTTCAAAGTTTTCTTTCTTGCCAGGCGGCACGACTGATCTATTGAAATATAAGATATTTAGTAGTAGGGCACTTATAACCTTTTGCACCCAGGGGCCAGCATCCAAGGATAATTGACTCTTATTAGCCAGAGAGATGGGGCTGCTTTCACACAGTAGAGACGAGGAAGAATACATGTGGATCCTGGGTGATCTACTTGGGTGCTTCTTGGTATCCCCTTGCCCAGTGGTAACTGTGAATGGACACATGCAACAACCCCAGACTAAGAAGGGTGTGATGACTACGGTCTACTACAACCCCTTAGGAATGAATGTTTAGGTCATTATCACCTTTATTCCTCAATTCCCTTTCTCTGATAATAAGAATATATTCTTTATCACAGGTACAGAGAGGAGACCTTCCACAGGGGAGTTTTACTCCCAGCTTTTAGGCATAAAAAGGAGGGTCAGAGTGCCCTTCCTGCATCTACTATTTCTTGAGTGCCTTTAATGTAAAATAATCAGTATGTTGAAGTAGCATATTTTGGGATAACATGCTCTGAACTCCTCCTGTCTTGTTACCTTTGTTTGTAGGGTCTAATTGTTCCTGCTGCTCATTTCTGCCCATCTTTCAAATCCTGTCCTCATTCTAGTATTTACCCTGTTGGGTTCAACTCATGGGGTTCTTGCCTTATGCATTACCTAACTTGTTACTTCCAAAATACACAATCTTGTATTGTGAGTATCTGTTTAATGTGTTTGCCTTATCTCCACAAATAGACTACAAACTCTATAAATACTTGCCTCATTTGGAAAATATTCACAAATGCCTAATTTTAAAAATGTATCATTTTAGATGCTGAAACTGGTATGCAGACTGTCACAGCTGTAGTCACTCATACTAAGAGTACAGGAGTTAATGAAAACATTATAGTATAATTAACTGAATGATCGTTATATTCTGGGCATCATTCTAAATTTTTGACATATATTAGTTAATTCATGACTTTGATATCATCCTTCATGGTTTTCTTTCTTTCACATCCCATATGTAATCCATCCAATTCAACTGAATCTATCTTGAAAAGATCCTGGACTCCTCCTGTTTCTCACCAAATTCACTTCCAGGCTCCATCATTTCTTTTCTTATTACTGCATTAGCCTCCTAAGAGGTATATATCCTTAAAACAGCATAGCGTAATCTTTTTAAAGTTTTAAGTTATACTTCTGTTCAAGACCCTGTGATGGTCACTGACTTCACACAGAATAAAAGACAAAGTTCTTTGTGGCTTATATGACCCTATGTCATCTTCCTCCTCCCTTGATAACAAGAACTTCATCTCTCACTGATCTCTGCCTTGTTTGTTCCCACAACGTCCAGCCTTGTTCTTCCACAAACTCGTAAAAGATCCAGGGCGTTGGCTCTAGCTTTTCTTCTTGCCTGGAGCACACCCCTAGTAATACACAGCTAACTGTCCTCTTTTAAGTTGGCTCAACTCTCACCTTCACAGTAAGTCCCATTTTGCCCTTTATCTACAACAAGCTCTTCCGCCTACTCTGAATCCTCCCTACTTCCTGAATCCTTTTTTTTTTTTTCCATAGCACGTATTACTTTTTAATGTACTGTATAAAATTTTTTAACCCGTATGTTGTCTACTCTATCCACCCTCTATAAACTCCAGGATAGTGAGCCTTGTTTTATTTATGGATGTATCCTAAAGAGCCTCAGTCAGTGCCTGGTACACGAGAGAAATTCAATACATATTTAGCGAATGAATTTGGAAGCTAGATTTTCTTTCTCCAGGGCCAGAAAGGGTGTTCCGGAAGGCGCCTTCACTGGCTTCTCAGCTTTTGTATTACGCAAAGGCCCAAACCCCACGGAACTTCAAGGTCAGGGGGATAGTTCCATACACAGATGATAGAAGATAAAAACAAAAACAAAACAAAACAAAAACACTAAAGGGTGAAGTTAGTTTTTTGCAGGTGGCTGAGCAAGGAAAGGCAAACTTCCCCTCCCTCTGCACGTTCAAAGTGTTTCAATTTGCAACACAAGTGACTTTGAATATTCTCCTACCGAAACAAATCCACGGCCACCGCACTAGGGCTTGGCGACGCCGACCCTGCCCTTCCCCGAGCAGCTTCAGTGCCCTCACTTAGGTGGTCAGGCCGTGCCTAAACATCATTCTTTTCTGGGCCAGGAGGTCCCTGTCACAGGGACAAGGCGCCGATATGGCGCGTCTTCTCCGGCCAGGCGTCCTGCAGGTAGCCGCAAGGGTCGCCGCGCTGGGCCGCTGACAGGCGGCGAGGCGAACACCCGCGCGAGGCCCCGGGGCGCGTCACGGCGGGCCGCGGCAGCGGCTACGGCTACCGCTACGGCGGAGAGCCCCGGCTCCCGGCCCCGCCCGCCGCACGCACGCGCACTGAGCCCAGCATGAGGGTCGCGGCTCTGATCAGGTAACGCGGCGCCGAAGCGGCCTTCCTCCTCCCCTGCCAGCCTGTCATCTTTTCCTGCTGATTGGTGGGAGCTGCAGCCGGCGCTTTCGGTTGCGCGGAAAAGAGAGTGTTTGTGCGGGAACCGCGTGTCGGGGCATCCAGCGGCTCCTCCCGGTCACAGGAAGAGGCGGAGTTTTCAGGCCATTGCTTGGCCTGGCGTGTCCCGCCGCCCGGGACTCGCTCTCGTCCTGTCTGCTTGTCCCCGCCTCTCTGTTTTTTCCTGGCCCTCAAACTTGCATTCCCAGGGGGAACTTTAAAACCCACCCATGTCTGCGTCTCCTGCCAGAACGCTGGTTTCACTACTGTGACACGGCCCAGGGTTGCATTCTTAAAAAATGTAATGGGCAGTGACCTTTGAGAGCCACGGCTTCACTCAGTCCTCTACAATAGTTCCTTTAGTCTTTGTGCTCAGTCCTTCGGGGCCGCCTTTCTCTCCCGAGGCTGTTAATAGCTCCAGGCCCCTCCCACTTAAGGCCACCAGTGTCTCACCTGATTACGACAAAGGTGTGTTTTACCTTGGGCTCAAGTACAGGAGAAGGGTCTCTTCCCTCGGGGTTAAAATGGAATTGTGTTAGTTTTATCCTAGATCTAATTGCTTTTGCTACAGACACCTTAAGTGCTTTTAGATTGACCTATGGTAACATAGTCTATTCCAAAAGAAGTTTGAAATCTATAGTAACGCGATATATTTAGGTGTCTCAAGTAAGTCCTAAAATAACTAAAGACAGGTCAGTTTAAATGTTTCCATATGCAATCTGTAAGCTGAAGCAAAAGTAAACTTAGTAACATTAAAAAGGGACTGTAGACTGCAGTACTTGAATATTTGATGAGATTTGAAATACACAACAAACCATGTTTTCTTTTGTAAGCCCATTGAATATTTCATACACGTTTTTGTTCAAAGTCCTAGTTATTTGATACTGGTTAACAATAGTGACCTATTAAGAACTCTTGATGTAACATTTGAATCCCTTCTGTAGTGATTGGAATATTCCAATTTATTTTATTTCAGTGCCATTTTGGGGACTCTATAACGTCAAACTAATTATTGTTATTCAGTAAATTTCTCCCATAAAGTAAGTGATTAAACTCTGACCACTGTGGTCTTCATTTGATCAAGTAGACAAGAATAAAAAGTAGTTCAGGAAATGAGTAATTCACATCATATGTAATTTGCCTTAAGTTTAGCTATTGAAGTAAGACATAGCAACTGAAGATTGAGATCTTGGAAGGAAGGATAGAAGATTGCTCTAATCCATTACAGTAAATATTCAGTAAAGTGCATATATTACTTTATTATAAAAAAGGAAATTACTTAAAAATGGCAATGTTGGAAAATTCTTGCTAGATTGTAAGAAATATATATAAATGTATAAATGTTAAGAGAATGAATGCTGTAAGTATGAATATATAACAATTTTATATATGAATATGAATGCATACATAATATATACATTTATATGAATATACATTTGAGTATATATGAATTTAAACTTAAATACAGTGGATCTATTTGTAATATATCTTGTGTGTGTGTGTGTATGTGTACTAAAATGAGAGATGGAATATGTTTGTGTGCTCTAAGGAGTAAGTGAAACCAAGATTCTCACAATATCTTTAGAACATAAAGAACATTGTTCTCCTTATACACAAAAGATTGAATTAGTCAGTTTTACAGTTGAATGACAGCTTGAGGACTAGCTAAACCATTCTCTAGTTTTATAATGAAGCATGTACCCAAGCACATTGAGTAACTGCTTAGTATACCAGAGTTGGGAACTAAAATTCCAGTCTTTTATAGGGCTTCTCACCTAACATATGCTTATGTACTTTGTAATATTCTGAATGTGAGTAAGTTACTAAGCATTTCCCAAACCTTTTGTTCTTAAAATCTTTGTTGGACACTAGTGTTCCATAGAACACAGTTTGGAAAATACTGTGTTTTTTTGGTTGTTTTTTGTTTGGTTGGTTGGTTGGTTTTTTGGGTTTTTTTGTTTGTTTATTTGTTTTGTTTTGTTTTTTAGATTTTATTCATTTATTTGAGAGAGAGAGAGCAGGAGCAGGGGCAGAGGCAGAAACAGACTCCCAGCTGAGCAGGGAGCCTGATGTGCAGCTTGATCCCAATACCGTGGGATCATGACCTGAGTCAGAGGCAGGTAGATGCTTAACTGACTGAGCTATCCAGGTGCACCTGGGAAATACTGTTTTAAAACTATGTTTGAAATTTTAGCACATTTTCAAGTGAATTATAAAGCTGAGTTCTGATTGTAGATGATGCCCTTTAATCTTTAGTATTCTAAAGAATTGTAATTGTGATTGTATACCTGTTCATCTTTGATGTTCTAAATATTCTAAAGAATTAGCCAAATCTTTTTGTCTTGAGAAAATAGAGCAGTGAAGTTCAATAGGGGAAGTTGTGGAAGATATAATAATGGAATATCAGAGTCTAAGAAAAGGGAGAATGATGTATAATTTTACTGTGCCTCTAAAGGTCTCCCCATGAGAAGTTCTGGAATGATAGTTACTGATTTGGTGTAGTAGAAGCAGATAAATGTTGGGAACTAAAATATAAGGCAAAAGGACCAGCTTCTACGATGAACAGTCTCTTTTTAAAAAATGTTTCTTGGGCTGTGAATATATCTATTTCCTGTAGATATACTTGCAGGTTTTAGGCAAAAATTAGAAAGAAAGGGAAGGGGGAGTGGGAAGAGAGGCAATGATAAGAAAGGAAGAAATATGTATAGTGAGAAGCAATAGAGTTTAAACCAAAATGAGGTTGCCATTCAACCTTGTTACAGATGAACTTGTCATAAAGGTTGCCATTGACATAAAGGTCGTCATTCAACCTTGTTATAGGTGAAACTGTTTGTCTTGACTAAGTGATTTGCCCCTGCTTTCAATAGATTTGGTCCTAGAATTTACAAGTTCTTTCAATCTGTTTATTAGCTCTTAAGGCTCAAGCCTTATCCTGCCAGCATATGGATAGTGATGGCTAAAGTACTAATGGTACTGATGTTTAACTTCAGTGTATTTTAGCATTTTGTTTTCTATCTCTACAGAATGTGAACCCACCCAGTACATCCAACTTTGTCATTAGATTGGATCTCAAATCTTTAATTTGACCCTTTAGTTGGTGATGGTGGCAAATTGTTAGATTTCTTATAGGAGAACAGAATAGATCTTTTTCTATTTTTCCATAGAGAATTTCATCTAAGGAATATATATAGTAGCTCTTTAGCTAGATTGTAAAATGAAATCATTTTTAAAAAAATTTTCGAAGCCCTTTAGAGAGCTTATATATATATAAAGGAAAGCCACTATTATAAACCAAAGAGTTACTATATTTTGTTGCGAGTGATCTTTGATAATGGCACATAATTTCATAAGCCCTTATGAATAGTAGCCTTAGACATTCAGATTCATTTGCTCAGTTTTCTTATGCGTTGGAAATTACATGTGTTTTTTTGTATCTTAATTGTATAGCAGCCTCTCAAGTATTCAGAAAAGTTGAATAAATATATTTTGATATCTAATGATTCTATGCTTAATAATGGTCAGTAACCTGATATTTATCTTTTTATTTCTTTTTTAGTGGTGGGAAGGATAGCTCTTATAATATGATGCAGTGCATTGCTGCTGGGCATCAGATTGTTGCTTTAGCAAATCTGAGACCAGCTGAAAACCAAGGTAAGTGCATACCTTTAATGGGAAGTTCTCTAAAGGACTGGAACTCCAACTTCATAATTGCATTCTTTTGTGTACAACATGCAAAGACAAAAATAGAACTAATATATATTTAGCACCTAATTAGATGCTAGGTTCTATGCTAAATGTTTTTAATTACATGTCCTTGATCTTCATAAGAACTCCTAGAGAGCTTTATTAGACAAGGATACTGAGACTCACAGTTTTATAAATTTGTCCAAGGTAAATAGCTAGAACAGACTTTCAGAGCTGAGACTTGAACTCTTGAATCTCCTTACTTCAGCGTGTACTGTTGTTCCTCCATAAAACTCCAAGTGTTTTAACCAACACACAGATAAGTAAGATACAACCTCTAGGAGCTTGAGAAGTAAGACATATATTGATAAATGATCCATCTTAGATGTAAGCTAAACATGTAAGACTTGAGAGAGGCATAAAGCAACACATTTCTGCTTTTTATTTGCCCGTGATAACAAGGACATCCACAGATAATTCACAGACCTCATTTTAGCTGTGTTTCTCAGTTTTCTTCCCCATGAAATTTCCTTTATCAGAGAGTTGGTTTTCCCTGTGTCCTTGTCGGTGTCCAAGTTTCCTCTATGGATAAGGACATGAGTCTAATGGATTAAAAGGCTACCCTAATGATCTCATTTTAACTAATTACATCTGCAGTGAGCCCAGTTCCCAATAAGATCACATTTTGAACTATGGATGTTAGGATTCAACCTTCAGTAATTTCTTTTATTTTTTGAGATCTGACTGACACAGCATTATATTAGTTTTAGCTGTACAAGTTAATGATTTGGTATTTGTGTATATTGCAAAATGATTACCACAAGAAGATTAGTTAACATCTATTGCCACATCTGGGTGTTTTTTTTTTTCCCCAATTAGAATTTAAAAAAAAAAGAAAAATATACACCAATTTGTGTTTTATACTGTTCTATTATACCCATATAACTATAGATATTATCTGTTGAAGTATAATAGGGAGAGATTAACATTTGTCTGACTTTATTTTAACTGCTTCTCCACATGGCTCTTCTAGTAAGATTATATCCCCTTTACTCAGCTTTTTTCAAGACCATGCTTTTGCTCTATTGTTATTTTAGGATGAATTAAATGAGTAGTATATGTGAAAACACTAATTAGAGTTCCTGGCATGAAGTAAGCATCCAGTAAATTTAGTTGAATCTGAATCTAGCGCTAAATATGTCCCTTTTTTTCTTCCTTCCTTCCTTCCTCAAGGCTGCCAGTCTGTTGAATTTTTGTTTTTATATCATTTTACAGTTGTTGTCTATCTATTTTGTCTTTGATTTTTATCCCCAAATAGATTGCTTTTAAGATTCTTGAGAGGAAGGTCATATCTTCTGTGTTTCTTTTCTGTATCTTCTATGTTTTAATTACACCTCAGCACTTGGGACAGCTCTGTGCCTCTGGTAGGCATTCACTCCGTTACTGGTGGACAGATGAATAATGACCTAACTAGAATTAGACCTGGAAGAGCAAGCAGGTATTTCAGTCAGATACTTGAATTTTCTTTCCTTCACATTTAAGACCCAAGTAATGCTGAAAGTGATGTGGGAAGAAAGAGGTTAGAAATATTTTATAGGAAGAGAAAATGGGTCTTATAGAGGGTCATGGGGAAACACATACTCTAGGATTTTGCACTAGGATTGCAATGATGAATAATAATAGCATTTTAGAAATATGTGGAAAATGACCTTTTTTTTCTGACTTTAAATGATAAAGAGAAAACTTTTTGACTAAGGGTGAGTGGGAACATACTGTAACTTCTGTATTATAAAAGAAGAAGCAGAACTTTGTTGTAGACTTACGTTCTATTATCAAAGGGAAAAAAATTCCCTTACTCCTTGTAGCTAATCAGGCAAGTGGGTTTTTTAAGCTTTCTGTTTGGGAGGTCTTGATATTTAAAAGGCAGAAGTTTGTATAATATATAATACATACAATGATATAATTTCCCTTCCTGGAGTTTCGATCTTGTCTTAAGCTTTTCTACTTGAATTATTATAGTTACTTTGTACTGAATCATTAATGTATAATCTTCCATGTCTCATGGTTCACTGGCAGGATGGGTAAAATGATAAAGTGTATCTCTAAATTATACCTCAGAATGGTGTGGAGACATTTACTTAGAATACTGTTAGTGAAAAAAATTCAATAGTAAATGGAATTAAAATCTTATGAAGTAAGGGCTGGAAAATCAGCTGAAACTATAGTAATTGTAGTGGAAGAGAATAGATGGTTGTGGGTTAGTAGATGGAAAGGGTTTAACTAATCTTGATTTAAAGTCAGCAGGAAGTTGGTGATTATTGAATGTTTCATTGATTGACTTTTCCCCCTGTCCCCCAAACATGTTGCAAAAGAAATCTTAATGAGGAATAACTGGTAGAGAGGACTCCAGTTTAAAACTTGTTAGAGTGAATTCATGGCACGGGGTTTTCAATGGGTAGTCTGAAAAGGAATTTATTCCCAACAATGGGGATAATGTGAACTTGTCATAAAATTCACAAAACCATCTCTTTTTGTAGTAGGAACTTTTGTGGCATGTTAATTGAGGTGCTTCAGGCAACAGTGGAGCCTTTTGGTTTTATTTGATCTCATACCATTGTTGCAATGTAGGTTCCATTAATACAAGTTACATTGTGGTTAGGACTAAATGGAGCCTTAAAGGAAAATTGTTTTCTAGGTTTTTGAAGTCAGTAAATTGTTGTTGTTGTTGTTGTTGTTGTTGTTGTTGTTGTTTTAAGATTTATTATTTATCAGAGAGAGAGAGAGGTAAAGAGTGAGAGCACAAGCACATGAGCAGGGGCAGCGGTGGGGTGTTGGGAATTGGGAGAGGGAGAGAGAGAATCCCAAGTAGACTCCCCATTGAGCACTGAGCACTGAGTCAGACAGGGGGCTCAAGACTGAGCCTGACAGGAGCTGAAATCAAGAGTCGGATGCTCAACCCACTGAACCACCCAGGCATCCCAGTCAGTAAAATGTTGTAATTATTATGCTGACATCAGGAGGTTTCTTGCTGAGAATCTCAGAGTTCTTTAAATATATAAATTCAGTTGTATCAATATACTTTAAAACTAATACATTTATAGATCCAGTCTAAGTCTGAGATGAGGTTAAGCTGAAAGGTTTTTAGGTGACTTTGGCTATATCTTTACTTCCTACTGTGGCCAGGAATAGACAGTTACATAATAATAATGCAAGTACATGGAAGCCAGTATGATGTATGAACAAACACAAGAAAACATTATGATGTAGGTTCAGACCTGGTGGGTCAAAATGTGATGTCATATGGTGACGGTTTTGATCACAGAAGGGGCCCTTAAAATACAGTTTTTCATCCCTTTTTGTAGATTATCCTTCATACTCACATTCACTAGATATTCTTGGCATATATGCATACATACACGCATCCATACATATAGGTCAAACAAATTGTGACTTTTCTTTTTACTTACTAACATAGTGTGAACATGTCCCATGTCATTAAGTATTATCCCATCACAGCATTCCCTAGATATCTTCTTTGAAACACAAATACCTGATGCAATGTACTCTTCTATAGAAGACGGTTTCAGAGACCATTCATACTCTCCCCTTATTGGAGTAGCTTAAAGCACATAAGCCTAGGAAGAATTCAGCAAAGATACCTACTTAACATGGTTGTCTCCATTTTTAATAAAGCTATTTGATCATGGAATCCTTTTTGCATCCAGTACCTATTAATATCTCATGAGAGTTCTACTCTATAGAACACGCTTTAGAAAATGCTCCTTCTTCATTTGCAACAACATGGGTGGACTTAGAGGGCATTGTGTTAAGTGAAATAAGTCAGACAGAGATAGACAAATATATGATTTCATTTATATGTGGAATTTAAACTGAACAAATGAACAAACACAAGAAAACAGACTTAAATACGGAAAACAGCTAGTGGTTGTTGGGGAAGTGGGTGGAGGGAATGGGTGAAATAGATGAATTAGGTTAAGAGGTACAGATATATTTATCAGATCGGGTTGTAAAGCACAACATAGGGAATATAGTTAATAATATTATTATAGGGATGCCTGGGTGGCTCAGTTGGTTGGACGACTGCCTTCAGCTCAGGTCATGATCCCGGAATCCCGGGATCGAGTCCCACGTCAGGCTCCCAGCTCCATGGGGAGTCTGCTTCTCCTCTGACCTTCTCCTCGCTCATGCTCTCTCTCACTGTCTCGCTCTCAAATAAATAAATAAAATCTTTAAAAATAATAATAATAATATTATTATTATAATGTTACATGGTGGCAGATGGTGATTGTGTTTATTGTGGTAAGCACTGAGTAATGTATAGAATTGTAGAATCGATATGTTGCATACCTGGAACTAATACAACATTGTATGTGAATTATACTTCAATAATAAATTAAAAAAAAAGAAAATGCTTTTCTTCAAAATTATATTAATGGTTGCATAGTATTTCATTATGTGAATACACAATAATTTTAGTGTATTGTGAATAATGCTATGATGAATATTTACAAATAATATTTTGTACATTCATGATTCTTTTTTCTAAAAAGTAAATGTATAAGATCAAAAAGTCTGTTCCAATATATTTGTCAGTTTATTTGTATCATCAAAAAGTCTGATGTAACTCATTTATTTTACCTATATCAGTATTTGTGGACTCTTGTGACAACCATGATTGTGTTATTGCTTAGCTTAAGTTATGTTTCTGTACTCATATTTAACTAACAATATTGAATTTCTTTTTCTTTTCTAAGATAGACAATTTTATTTAAAATATATTACAAAACTTATGGCTCCACCTGAGATATGGTAACTTTTTATTATTTTTTATTGGGATAAAATTGGTATATAACATACTAGTTTCAGATGCACAACGTAATAATTCAGTATTTGTTTAAACTACAAAGTGATTACCACAACACATCTGTTTACCATCCATCACCACA